ACATAATGGAAACACACGGCAAAGACTTACAGCATTTACTCTGTACCAGGCACATTTAATATTAAAATAATCCTATGCTGTAGGTAATATCTTTATTTTATAGATGAGGCAAGAAAAGCAAACAATTAAACTGCTAGAGTCAAGATGTCGATCTCAGAAGAGTTCTTAAATCCCCACTAGTGGTATTTTTTTCCCTTTAGACCTCAAGTGCACAGAATTAACCACAATCCTTTCCTTCAAGACATACTCTTGTTGTTCATCCATTTCTGGCCCACTTTTGCTTGATTCCTTTTAATAATGCAATAAGCAGCCCTGGCCATGCTCAGCTGGTTAAAGCATCATCCCATTCACTGAAAGGTGGAGGATTCGACTCCCTTTCAGGGAACATACCTGGGTGTTGGGGCAGGTACAGGAGGCAACCGATGGATGTTTCTTTCTCTCTCTCCCCACCTTCTTCTCTCTAAAAAAACATAATAATAGAGTAAAAATAAATACTGCAATAAGCATCTAAAAGTAGGACTCTGACAACAATATTGCCCATCCCATTTCCCCTGCCTCCCCTGCAACAATCATCCTGAATGCTAAGTTTTTATTTTCTTCCCTTCCTTTTAGTGCATCAAAATGGAATCCTAAAAAGTGTGTGTGTGTGTGTGTGTGTGTGTGTGTGTTGTTTGGTTGCTTTGAATTTTTAAAAAAGCAGGCATGTTATATGTAATTTTAGTGATTTTTGCTACATAGTCACTTCAGTTCTTTAAAATTTTTTTTATTGTGGTAAACTATACATATATAACATAAAATCTACCATTTTTAGGTGTACAATTCAGTGACATTACATTCAAAATGCACCATCATTATCCATTCATCCCCAGAACTTTTTTCACCACCCCAAACTGAAACTCTACCCATTAAACAATTAGCTCTTCAATATCCCCTCTGCCCAGACACTGGTAAACACTATCCTATTCTGTCTCTATGAATATGCCTGTTCTAAGTAGCTCATATAAGTGAAACCATACAATATTTGTCCTTTTGTGTCTGACTTATTTCACTTAGCATAATGTTTTCAAAGTTCATCCATGTCAAAGCATACGTGACTTTCATTTATTCTGACTGTTGTATGATGATGATTTGTTTCTAGGCTCTTACTACAGTCATGTACCACATTTTGGTAAACAATGAACCTCAAGAACAATGGTGGTCACATAAGATTAAAAGGAAGCTAAAAAACTTCTATCACTTAGTCTTGGCCCAGTAGCTCAGTTGGTTAGAGCATCCACTCAATATGCTAAGGTTGTGGGTTCAATCCCTGGTCAGGGCACATACAAGAATCAACCAATAAATGCATAAATAAGTGGAAAAACAAATCAATGTTTCTTTATCTCTTCCTCCTCTCTAAAGTCTAAAAAAATCAATAAACTAAAAGAAAAATTTTAATCTTTCTAAAAATAACCACCACCATTTAAATTTTTAAAAAAAATAAAAACTTCTATTGCCTAGTGACACCATGGCCTTTGTAAAGTTGTAGCACAACGCATTACTCATGGCTTTCAGCATGGTCTAGTTTAGCAATTTTCAACTTTTTTCATCTTATGGCACACAAACTAATTACTAAAATTCTATAGCACACCAAAAAATATATTTTGCCAAGCTGATAAAAAAAAAAGTATAATTTTGATTTATTCATACCAACAGCTATTTTGTTGCATGTTGTCATATCTTTTATTTGACAATCTAAGGGAAAAAGAGGTCAGTGCCCTTGATTAAATAGTCAGGTATTGCATGTTTTAAAAATTCTTGCAGGCCCTGGCTGGTTTGGCTCAGCAGTTAGAGCGTCGGCCTGTGGACCGAAGAGTCACAGGTTCGATTCCGGTTAAGGGCACATACCTGGGTTGCAGTTCATCCCCGGCCCTGGTTGGGGTCATGTGGGAGGCAGCTAGTTGATGTGCGTCTCTCTCTCCCCCCACTCTATCTAAAGATAAATGAAAAAATATCCTCAGGTGAAGACTAAAAATAAATAAATACCGCTGCTCTAGCTGATCAATTCTGTAATGTATGCTTGCAAAACACTCTATGTTCATTAGGTTAAGCTTGTTGGTTTTTTATAATCTTACATATCTGATAATTTGTCAACTTGGCCTATAAATAATTAAGAGAGGCAATGAGCATCATTGTATGTCCAAGTATGTCAATTGTAAATGAAAAAATGATTTAAAAACAAATCCTTGCCCTGGCCGGTTTGGCTCAGCCAGCGGTTGGAGTGTTGGCCTGCGGTCCAGAGAGACCCGGGTTCGGTTCCCGCTAGGGCACATATCTCGGTTGCAGTTTGTCCCTGGCCCTGGTTGGTCGTGCGGGTGGCAGCCACTCGATGTGTCCCTTTCACATCTATGTTTCTCTCTCTCGCTCCTTCCCACTCTATCTAAACAAAAGATGGAAAAATGTCCTCTGGTGAGGATAAAATAAATAAATAAAATAAAAACAAATCCTTCTTGCCCAGCCAGTGTGGCTCATGAGTGTCAACCCATGCACCAAGAGGCTGCTGGTTCAATTCCTGGCCAGGGCACATGTCCAGGTTGTGGGCCAAATTCCAGGTGGGGGGCTTGCAAGAGGCACCAATCGATGTTCTCTCTCATGGATTGTTTCTATCTCTCTCTCCTTTTCCCTTCCTCTCTCTGAAATCAATAAAGAAGAGAAAAAACACACTAATCCTTCCTTTCCCTTGCTCCATCCCTCTTCCTATAAAAATCTTCTATTTTGTTAAAACAACGAGGTATCACCTCACACCTGTCAGAATGGCCACCATCAACAAATCAAACAACAAGTGTTGGCGAGGGTGTGGAGAAAAGGGGATTCTAGTACACTGCTGGTGGGAATGCAGACTGGTGCAGCCACTATGGAAAACAACATGGTGTTACCTCAAAAAATTAAAAATTGAACTGCATTTGACCCAGTGATCCCACTTCTAGAAATATACCCTAAGAAGCCTGAAACACCAATCAGAAAGAATATATGTAACCCCATGTTCGTAGCAGCACTATTTACAATAGCTAAGATCTGGAAACAGCCCAAATGTCCATCAGTAGACGAATGGATAAAAAAGCGGTGGTACATATATACAATGGAGTACTATGCAGCAGTAAGAAAGATCTCTTATCCTTTGAGACAACATGGAGGGACCTGAAAAGTATTATCCTAAGCGAAACAAGCCAGAGAAAGACAAGTATCATATGATCTCACTTATTTGTGGAATATAATGAACATAACAGTGAGGAATGGGGGTAGTCCCAGAGACGTGGAAGTGGGGTACAGACTGACAATCCCTAGAAGAGGGGGTGGTGGGGGAGAGATAAACCACAGAACTTATATGATTGTGTGCATGAACAATGGACATGGACAACAAAGCTGGGGACAGGGAAGGGAGGGTGGGAGAGGGGGGAATCAGTGGGGGGGGGGAGAAACATCTGTAACAAAAATAAATTAAATAAATAAATAAAATGTAGATTAAAAAAAAAAAATCTTCTATTTTGTACAGCCCCTCAAACTCCCTTCTGGTTGCCAGATAGGATGTTGCCCAATTCATGAATTAAAGCCAATCAGATCTTTTATATTTACTAGGTTAGATTTTGTTTTTGTTTTTGTTTTTTTCCTCACCCGAGGACATTTTGCCATTTTTTGTTCTGATAGAGTGGGAGAGAGAGAGAGAGAGAACCATTGGCGTGAAAGGGACACATCGAGTGGCTGCCCCCCGTATGACTAACCAGGGCAGGGGACAAACTGCAAACGAGGTATGCACCCTTAGTGGGAACTGAACTTAGGTCTCTCCGGACCATAGGCTGATGCTCTAACCACTGAGCAAAATCGGCCAGGGCTGGATTTTGTTTAACAAGAGTTAATAAAAACAAATTTCTTCTTGTAAAAAACAGACAAACCCTATATTCTGACTTTCTAGGAAGTTCTTACTAACGTCTGCTACACATGTACAAAGATAAAGTGTGTTGAAGAGTACGTTCCCATACAGTCTGCAAAACCAACAACATGCCAGGAAACAACCTAAAAATCCATCAGTGGGTAACTGTTTAAAGAAACTGTTATACAACCCTGTAATACAATACTACACAATCTTTAAAAAGTATTTTGGTTAACTGTATGTAAAGCTGTCCCTCACATTATTTGCAAAATTAAGGTGCAGAACAATACATACAAAATGACCCCACTGCTGTTTAAATATGTGGATATATGTAGTAAAGTCAGGAAGGATATAACATCAGGCAGTTAACAGTAGCTAACCTCAGGAGGAAACCGGTCAGGGATGATGGATTCACTTCCAACACTTCTGTACTGTGTGCATTATTTTTAACAGGCACGCACTATTTGTTATTTTAAGACTATAAAAAGTTGTGATCCTGCCCAGTACAAACGAGGAGAAAGAGCAGGCGCATTTTCTTCGGGCATCCCTTTAAAAGAGTGGTTTTCAAACTTGAGGGTATACAGTAATAGGAATTAAACGGGAGGAGCTGTGCTGATAGAAATGCATATTCCCGAGCCCTGTCTCCTGATACTGCTTGGAAGGCATTTTTCAAACAAGCACCACATGCCTCTGAGACACATGGCCCGTGGCCCTGAAAACTGCTACGTTAAAATCTTGAAACACCTCCCAGTCATTCTCCCGCCTCCCTCTCTCCCGCCTCTTCTCCCCAAAGTGCCTCGGTATTCAAATTCTGCGTGCGGCTCAACACCGTCCATCCAACGATTTCGTGAGGTTTGGAACCTTTTCGCTGAACCGCATCACATCACGGCACCCCAATGTTCACCTTCCGCGGGCCCTCCTCTCACAATCCTGTCCCCACCAACCCTTTTCCTACCCCGCGCGACCGTCCCAAGGCCGCCACCCACGCCGCGAGCTCCTCCCGCCCGCTCGCCCCACTCTCGGCCCGCGGACCCGGCCGCTCCACACTTCCCGACCCGGCCTCCCGGCGCCGCGCCGACGAAACCCAAGAACCTACGCCGTACGGCCGCTGGGTGAATCGCTCCCACGCCGACCCCAGGTGAAGAGGACGTCAGTCAAAGGGCCTCAAGCCTCAGCAGCAATTTGAAACGGCGGCGAGCAATGAGAGCGCAATTTCCGGCTTCCTGAATCTGGCTCACTTGGGAGCTTCCGGTGAGGCCTCTGGAAACCATAGATAGTTCAACTGGAGGACTAGAGAGCTAGAGAGGATAAGTTCTCCCTACCATAGAGTACAGTCCTTTTCCGGAAGCCAGTCGCGAGTCCCGGATGACGAAGAGCTGTGAGGTCTCGAGAGCGAACGCTTCAGGAAATCGCGAGGTCTTGGGATCATTTGCAGACGTGTCCTAGGAGATCAAGAAACGGGGAGGGGAGAAAGCTATGAGTATCGTCAAAGGCAGCCTTCAGCTCATCAGAAAAATATCGCTCCCTCCGTTCCTCGGTGTTACTCTTAATCCCGGAGGAGGCTGAAGAAGGGAAATCGCACCCGTGTTGTGGCTAACTGGGGGAGATAGGACTAGCATAGACTCAAATCACTGCAAGAGATGTGGTAAATGCTGAAAGCACGGTGCAAAAAACAGTGAGCTGGAGCTTATTTGGATCACACAACCAGGTCCTATCTAATCTCTCCCAATACGAAAGTGGCTTCAACAAACCTCTCAAAAACACCGCCTCTCAGGCAGGCTGTCTTCAACCTCTGGCTGCCAGAAAGAGGTCCTGGCTCTGAACCCGGCTGCCTAGGGCCAGCCCATAGTGTGTGGGTTCTTGAATAGTGTGTGGATTCTTGAATTCGTGCAGGAAAAATTTCACAGCATGAGTCGAGGTGAATTTTAGAGGATAGTTTTAAAGCTGGGGACAGTGAAACAAGAAAAGATGGGAAATGAGCCCAGGCTGGTCTCCTTTGGCTGACTAAGATGTCAGAAAAGGGGCCTTGGGGACAGGTTCAGGAGGTTTGCCTGAGATGAACTGCCACTGCCCATTGCTGCCCCGGTTGCAAGCCTCTTGGGGTCCCTTAAAGTTTAGGAGATGCATGCCTATAGGGGAAGAAGGGGGTGGAGGCGCAGGCTGCTCCTGGGAAGGAGAGCCAGCACCTGGACCTTCCTGTTGATGGGTTTTTAAGGCTGGGCGTTTAGGGGAGATCTTGATAGACTATTCTTCAGCTTTATGCTGACATACCAAACTGATATTTATTCTCTTAACTTCACCTGTCCTTGACATACCAAACTGATATTTATTCTCTTAACTTCACCTGTCCTTGGATGTGGTTGGCAAATGGCACTAATTGGATTTATGCTGTCTCCCAGTAGGGTGATTTAAATTATTTACTCTGTGGTTGGGGAGAAGTGCAAACCATTTACTCTTAAATGTCCCTGGTTTAGGGAAGATAGGATTTACTAGATGGCTGCAAGCTGCTGTTTAACATCTGTCTCAGCATTCTCTCTCCCAAATAACTCATTTTATTTCAGGATGATTCTAAATGTTAAAGGATTTTCTGAGCTGAAATCTGTTACTTGGAAATTTGTTTCCCTTCTGCACTTTGGAGAAGAGTAAGGCTTCATTCTTTCCAATATGAATACTATTCAGTTATTTGAAGACAGCTGCCATATCCCATCTCTAACTCTTCTGTTTTTCTGCAGTCAAAAACTTCCCTTAGAGCCTTCAACTACAGTTGACCCTTCAACAACACCCAAGGGTTAGGGGCTCTGACCCTGCACAAATATCTGCCTATAGCTTTTGATTTCCAAAACATTTTACTTTTTTATTTGTTAAATAACAAAATTGAACCGAGTAAACTCTAAACATTTGCTTGTCACATTTGGGCCTTTAATTCATTTGAAACTGACGTTTTGTGCATGTTATAACAGAGATCCAATCTTATTTTTTTCAATGTGAATAATAAATGTATGGCTCTATTACTGAATCTATAAACTGGATGTGAGTCTACAGTCCCTTGATTTAATCTTTCCTTCCCATTTAACATAATAATTGAAGGTTTTGTAGAAGAGGTATCATTTGGGTTGGGCCTTGAAAAATGAACAGGATTTCATGAGGCAGTGATGTTGTTTGAAGAAATATGGCATAAATAATGAGAGGAGAGGGATGAGGAATTGGAAGACACAGTCTTAAAACTGAGAGGAGTGTGCTTTGACCGAAGTGTTGGATGTTGTATAGAAGATTGACATTGTGTTGAATCACACCGTTCAATATAATAACCACCAGCTATATGTGGCTTGAAATGCGGTAGTCCAAACTCTGCTGAAAGTGTAAAATATACATCAGAAAGACTTTGTAGGAAAAAAATAGTGCAAAACATCTCACTAATAATATATTGATTACACATCAAAATGATAATATTTTGGGTCTATTGGGTTGAATAAAATATATTTCAATTAATTTCACCTGTTTCTTTTTACATTTTTAAATGTGGCTACTAGAAAGTTTTAAATTACACATGTAGTTTGCCTTATGTTTCTACTAAGTGGTATTGAATGCTAGCAAAGTAGGCTGGGGCCAGATTGGAGAGGATTTTAAATGCTGCTATAAAAAATTCCACGTGTTATTCAATAAGTAATAGGGAAGAATCAAAGGGTCTTTTTTTTTTTTTTTTTTTTTTTTTTTTTATCCTCACCCGAGGACATTTTTCCATTTTTTGTTCAGGTAGAGTGGGAGGGGGAGAGAGGAACAGAGAGAGAGAGAGAGAAACATCGATGTGAAAGGAACACATCGAGTGGCTGCCACCCGCACAACCAACCAGGGCCGGGGACAAACTGCAACCGAGGTACGTGCCCTTAGCGGGAACCGAACCCGGGTCTCTCAGGACCGCAGGCCGACGCTCTAACCGCTGAGCCAAACCGGCCAGGGCGAATCAAAGGGTCTTAAGCAAAGAAAAGGCAGTCTAATATTCCTAATCTGGTGACTGAGCATCCCATCTGCACACAGCCAATTTCAGAAACCATTCATTCTACCATTAGCCCTGGATAGATGGTTAGCTCTGGTGATATGATTCTCATAGAGAACACTTAATATGGTAGTCCTTGTAATTGTTTTTAATGTAACATGAATGGAACAAATCTAGGGGTAAAGTTATTCCTTTTGCCCAGAATTAACACAATATTGCCAGCTCTCTAAATTCTCTACATTTCCCTCCATTCCAGTCAAATAAATTAAGCCAGATTGGTGGCTATAGTTAATAATACTGTATCACATATTTGAAAATTTCTCAGAGAAGATCTTGAATGTTCTCAAAGGAAAAATATGTATGACCATTTGGTGACAGATGTTAACTAGATCTATTGTGATCATTTTACAATATATACAAATATAAAATTATTTTGCGCACCTGAAACTAATATAATGTTATATGTCAATTGTACTTCAATAAAAATAATTAGCTAAAAAGTATGTTAAGCATTTTTTGAAGGGTAGTGTCAGAGAATAGAAACAGCAGAAGCCATAGAGCCTGTTCCTGTTACATCTTTGCCACTAAGTTTCTTTTTCCTTCCTTGCATCTATCTTTTATTAATTTGTCAAGTACAGTTGACATTCAATATTATATTACCTTCAGGTGAACAGCATAGTAGTTAGACATTTATATAACTTACTAAGTGATTCCCCCATATATATTTACTAGAATGTTATTGACCATATTCCCTATGCTATATTTTACATTCCTGGGACTGTTTTGTAATACCAATTCATACTTCTTAATCTCTTCACCTTTTTCACGCAGCTCCCTAACCCCCTCCCATCTGGCAACCATCAGTTTGTTCTCTGTATCTATGAGTCTCTTTCTCTTTTGTTAGGGTTTTTTTGTTCTTTAGATTCCACGTATAAGTGAAATCACATGGTGTCTGTCTTTCTCTGACTTATTTCACTTAACACAATACCCTCCAGGTACATCCATGTTGTCACAAATGGTAAGATTTCATTAGTTTTTATGGCCAAGTAATATTCTATTGTGTATACGTACCACATCTTCTTTATCCAACCATTTGGTGATGGGCACTTAGATTGCTTCCATATCTCAGCTATTGTAAATATTGCTTTGCCAGTAAATCTTTATGTGACTGTATCGATCCTTATTATGTGTCAGGCTCTGTTCTAAACAATTTATATAGCAATCTTATATAATTCTCACAATCATCTCATTGTCCTGAGACACAGAGAAGTAGCTTGCTCAAGATCACACCGTGGAAGTAAGGATACAAACAGGAGCACCTAACTTCAGAACCCAGGCTTTATGTAGAAGTATTTATCCTTTCAGTTTTTCAATGTACCCTTTTAAAAAAATGATTTGAAATATTTCCAACTTAACATTTTGCATTTTTTCCCCAAGTAGTATTCTTCTATAACATGATTATTAATGACTACATAACATTCTATATTAAGGTTGTACCATAATTTATACAGCCATTTATGTCTTTTCCAATTTTTTCAAATTAAAATGCCATGGGGACCTCTCCTATAATCAGGTCTTTTTTATATCCCTATTTCTTTCTTAAGGACAAATTCCTAAAAGTGGAATTGCAGGACCAAAGCAATCACTCCAAAAGCAGTTGGGATTAAGCAAATGAAATTAAGGGACAGTAACATCAGCTACCAAAAATCCTTTTTTGTCCCATTGTAAACCCCACAGTTGGTAATTCTCAAAGTCAGCCCTATAGCAGAGGGGAGTGCTCAGATTATTATGGCTGTGGACCAGAACAGCTCTCCGATGTCAAGATCTATAGAATCTCTTCTCTCTTGGTCTGTTCGGCTTTCCAGTCTCTCGGGTTTAATAGGGCTTCTGCCTCCAAGGTCTCCACTGGTGACCTCCCCCAGGGTTTTCTTCGCTTAAAATTACTTGCAAGACAATCTCACTATCACTCCGCAGTGTCCTTTCTCCCACTTTATACGATACAGTTCAACCCAATAGCTTCAGAACGGCGTATTTGTATTCTCTTAGGCTGATTGTTTTTTTCTGTTGTCGCTGTTGTCGCTTAGGTTTTAGAACTGATATCCACCAAACTATTAATAGTATCATAGACCAGACATCATTGCAATGCTTCAAAAGTGATATACTCGCCGTTCTCTTAATTCTGGACCTATTAAAGAGATTACTAATCAAAGAAGCCTA